TTCCTTCCTTCCTTCCTTCCTTCCTTCCTTCCTTCCTTCCTGAGTTCTGATGCTTTGAAAATCTACGTGTGGGACTTTTTTTCTCCTCTTCGTTTCACTTAGTGCTAGTTTGAGTCACTCTTCTTAGACTGTCTAGCTGTAGCCTAGTAACTGTTTCCCTCCTACCTTCAGACTATTCCTTCTGTTTGCTTTAGCCATTATTACTAACTCCTTCACACATATGTCTTCATGTTCTCAGGCTGGTTTTGATTGGTTTTGTGTTCTACTTAAGCTTTAAAATATTTGGAGGCTTTTGGAATTGTGCTAAGAAATACAAAGGTGAACTAAACATGTACGTAAGGGACATTGGAACTTGAAATTGAAACGTGTAAGAGTTTTCTAGACAAGAGCCAGGAAAAAGCATTCTGTGAATAAGAATATATTCAAAGGCTGAATATATTTCTATTTCTCAAATACCAGTTCTTGGACATATTATCCCTGAGTCAAAGGATAACCAGATATTTAGTTTTGATAGGAACAACAGATGAGCTCTCAGAAAGAAAGTGATGTGAATAATGTTTTCTAACAACTGTGTATCAGTGTTTACCAGAGTCTTGCAAACTTAGATATTATCAACATTTTGATTTTTAATGTCTCATGCCTGAAAAATATTGTCTTCCTTTTTTTTTCTTTTTTAGTTTTTATTTTCCTGTTAGTGAGGTGGGAAATCTTTGTCTTTTAGTATTTCTTCCGTGAATTCCTCTGAGTATTCGTCATTCAGTTCTGTTAAGTTACTTGTTCTTTTCACATTGATTCTCTTTAAATATAAGGTATATTAACCTTTCTTTAAGTTTTCCAGATAATTTTGCTCAATGTTTCTTTCAATTTTTTTAAATAGCAGTAACTTTGTTTTAGAACTCTTAAATTTTTTTGCATTAATTCTGACTTCGCTGTATCTTATTAGAGAGATCTTTCTCAAACTTACAATTACTTAAATACTCTTATTTTTCTAGGATGTTTATAGTTTTATTTTTTAGACTTATCACTTCACCCACCTGGAAAAGTTATTTGTGTCTCTTGGTGGGTGGGATCTAAATATATTTTATAATCTGATCATCCTTTGCCCCTACAGCCATTCCTTAGTGACTTGAAAATTCCTCCTGTAGCAGCAAAATGGATGTTTTTCTGAACCCCATTTTTTTCCATTGATGTATTCTTTCTTTTTTTTTTTTTCCAGATCAGTCACTTGTTAAATTACTTAGCCCTTATAAGTGTCTTTTATTACAATAAGATGGAAATAATAACATCTACCTGGGAGGGTTGTGAGAGATAATGACATAATGAACATCAAGCTTTTACCATGTCTTGTTCATAATAGATGCTCACTAAATGTTTATTGCTCCTATTGTTGCCATTTATAATTATTATATTACTGTCATCCTTCTCAGAATCAATGTATTTTAGTTCCTCTTGCCTCATAGGGTTAATTGGTATTTGGTAGGGTAAGAGCACTCATTCCATTGTTTTTTTTGTTGTTGTTGTTACCAAAATATGAAGTTGGTTTTGCGTTTCTTTCCAGGTGAACTTGAGAATCAACTTAATGCCCCACATCCCTGTTGAAACAAAACAAAAACAGTCTGTTGGTATCTTGATTGGAATTACATCGTGATATGTAGGTTAATTTGATGAGAATTGACTAAAAAGATGTAAAACTTAAAGAAATGGTACTAATTTGCTGTGGTATGCTTCATATTTGGCAGTTACCAGATTTGCAAAGCAGATTACACATTAGCATTAGTTATTTAAAATCAGAGGAAACAAAATTGTTTTCAAGGATTGCATAGAGCAATCAGATTTTGTGCTGACTATCCTTTCAAAACTCTCTCAGAATGAGTTACTCAATCTGTGGATGATAAATTATTGTTTTTAATAATGGGGAGTTAGGGAAGCATTATGTAGGAGCCTATTAACATGTCTCAGGCATTGCATCATTTAAAATAGTGCTCTCTTCAAAGTGTGGTTCATGAATCTGTGTCTGTCCACAAGCATGCACGTGAGTACAGGAATTAAGGAAAAGAATTTACATTTAATGCAATTGGCAGAGTAATTTATATGGTAACTTTGATAGTTTAAGAAAATAGGTTTATATTTTGTGTGATTTAAATTTTATTTTGAAACAGATTGGAAATAAAAGAGAACAAAACATAGGACTGGTCCTTTGTCATGGATAGTTTAAGAAGCACTTACTTGGAATAATTTAGGAAACTGATTTGAATTGACTGAAAAGACCTCCCTTTCTCCCTCCAGCCTCAGCATGCACCTGCATAATGGCTACTTTTCAGTTTTTCTAATTTTGTAGTGTATTTCATTAGTTAGTTTCTGTCTGTCTGCCTAAATTGCCAGATTGTGTCTGAGAAAGGTTGTAACAATTTACCTTCCTGTCCTGTTTCCTAGAGTGCCTTTTCTTAGCACTCTGGGTAGCCAAAATTTAGAAATCTTAACATTTTTAAAATACTGGCTAATTTATTAGTATCGGTTATCTCATTTTAATGTGCATTTTTAATTTTTAGTCTAATTGCAGTTTTCCATATCTCTGCTAACTATATTTTTCTTTCTCTTTGTCAGTGACCTGTTTTATGCCTTAGTCATTTACCACTTGGATTCTTGGTGTGTTGATTATGTATGAAACCTTTGTCCACTAATGTTTTTTCACATGTCGCTTATTGCCTTTAAATCTTAGGGTTTTTGTTTTCTTACATCTTCCTCTGTTATTTCTTCCGTTATGTTTAAATTTAGAAAATCTCTCCTAGATTTACTAAGTATTCATACTATTTTAAATTTTTTTTTAGGGAAGTGAATTTTAACATTATTTCATGTGTTCTTTAATTACTCTAAAATTTACTCTGTGGTATGCGTGAAGTTGAGATCTACATTATTTTTTTCCTCTTCAGGCGGCTAATTATCAAGTAGAGTTGTGTTTTTTTCCTTAATCATATCCTATCCTACTAATTTACCTAGCCACCTTTATCATGTAATAAGTTCAGATTTGATCTTTTTTTATTGATCTGCGTTAATACAAGAGTGTTCTACATATTGTAAGCTTTTAATATCTGATAATTTTAGCCCTCCTTCCCCAGTATTCTTGGTCAAAATGTTCCTAGTCATTTCTACTTGTTATTTCTCCAGGTGAATGTTTGAATTGGTTTTATATTCTGGCTTATGTTTGAGAACTAAGAGGTTGTTATAGGATTATATTATTTTTGATTCTGAGGAAAATTGATTTTTGTACGTGGCTAAGTGGTATTAATCTTCCTTTGAAATGTAATATGTGCCTCGAGCACTGTTTTTCTTTTTTCCTCAATTCACATATCAGTTAGCACATATTTTTATAGCTCTTGACAACAAGTTTTATTGTCCATCCAGAAAACATTTAAGTATTTTTTTTATTTTATGAACTTGAAAATAAAAAAATACACGTATTTATAAGCTTCATAAGTATACGTATAAAGGCTAATTTTTTTTTTAATTTTTTTTTCAACGTTTATTTATTTTTGGGACAGAGAGAGACAGAGCATGAACGGGCGAGGGGCAGAGAGAGAGGGAGACACAGAATCGGAAACAGGCTCCAGGCTCTGAGCCATCAGCCCAGAGCCTGACGCGGGGCTCGAACTCCCGGACTGCGAGATCGTGACCTGGCTGAAGTCGGACGCTTAACCGACTGCGCCACCCAGGCGCCCCTGGGCTAATTTTATGTAGCATATTTATTGTAATCTCTTATCTTGATGTAGAGAAGCTCATGTTCACAGAAATTTAGTGAGAAATTTTGCTCTCTGCAATTTATTTAAAATTAACTTAGATGATTTTATTTTTAGCATTCCCCCATCGTGTTAAGCAGTACTATCGGAAAAAAGAAAAATGACTTCCTATTTCCTTGCCTCAGTCATTTTTACTTTGATTATATGTGTGTTTTGAGAGAAAAAAAAATTTAACGTCTATGTATTCTTAAAGCAATTCTTGAAATGTTTGGGATTGGCACCATGGGCCATGGAGTGGTGACTTCCCTATTCTCAGGATTTCTTTAAAGGTATACTAACTTTGATAAAAGCAGTATAGTGGACTTAAATTTATAGGAGTGATTATATCCTGTAGAAATTTGGCAGATTAAATATATGAGTAGTTCTCATATGTGGTATTCACTAATGTTATTAATGAAATAACTGAGTTAAGCCATTGGAACAAAAGATTTCCATACTTGTATCAATCATGACATCAACATATTATCATTGTGGCCAAAAATTTAGAGTTGTCACTATATTTAAGACTACTTTATCATATTATTTAATCTCTATTATAGAAGGGCTTTCTGATTTTTTCTGTTTAAACTCTTAATCTCATTTATGATTCTGTCTGCTATATTAAAATAATCATCTAGCCTTTGCTTAAAAACTTAGTCTCTCATTTCCCCTCCTTTTTTTTTTTTTTTTTTTTTTTTTTGGCATGGCTTTGATTGTTAAAAAGTGTTCTTTGTATGGAATTGAAATCTGATATCTTTTGCCCTAAGAATTCTCTTTTTTATGCTTTATATCTAAATATGAAGTCTACTCTTACCTTTAATAATCCTTACTTCAAATGTCAGAAGACAGCTGTCCTGGTGCCTCAGAGTCTTCTCTTCCCCATCCCAAAAGGACTCTTCTGAATTCCCATAAAGTAGGTGACAGCCTCAGATGAAATGTGCTGTCACTAAATAAATACAGCATGCCAAGTTCCCTGACCCTCAGCGGGAAAAGCGACCCTATTCCATGTCCCTTCACATGAAAGCCTTGTGTAACTTCTTCCTGAGTTCCCAGAGCACACAGTTGTATAAAGAGGCACTTACATTCTCTCCGCCATCTTATTTTCATTTAAGTCTTAGTAGCTTGAAAACATATTAAACGTGGCTACATCCAAGGATTTTTCCTTGCTACTCACAAATAATTGCCTGGCAAATAACATTTCTTTCAACACACACAGAAGAGTGCCTGTGCTGCTTTACTCACCTGTATCCTTTCTGACTAAACTTCACTCTTTAGCAATCCCAATCTTTTTTCGACCCTATGTCACACGGTTTTGGTACACCCATGTTTAGCGTTCTAAATGTTCTTAGGTAACATTATGTTACATACATTTTGAAAAGACGTCATTCCATGGCCAGGTAGGATTGTTGTTATCATTCTGTAGTTTTAACATTTATCTTGTCTTGGACAATGGCTGTTGACTGATATGTGTGATTGGGTGACCGGTTAGCTGTGAAACATCAAATGAGTTGCTTAACCACTCTGTGTTCAGAGTCTTTTTATACAAAACAAAAGTTTAGGTAGAATGATTTCTAAAGTACTTTTAGAATAAGTTTAAGAATGAGATAAGTTTAAGAATAAATTTAAAAAAAAATTTTTTTTTTCAACGTTTATTTTTGGGACAGAGAGAGACAGAGCATGAACGGGGGAGGGGCAGAGAGAGAGGGAGACACAGAATCGGAAACAGGCTCCAGGCTCTGAGCCATCAGCCCAGAGCCCGACGCAGGGCTCGAACTCATGGACCGCGAGATCGTGACCTGGCTGAAGTCGGACGCTTAACCGACTGTGCCACCCAGGCGCCCCAAGAATAAATTTAAATAAGTTTAAATTTATTACCAGAAGGTCTAATTGATAGACCTCTGAATGTCCTCCTAATGACATGGCAGTGAATATTCTAATTAGTTTTTCAAGGAAAAGAGGCTATTTTACATTTTGTGAAGAAGAGACATTTTTTTTTTTTTTCAACGTTTATTTATTTTTGGGACAGAGAGAGACAGAGCATGAACAGGGGAGGGGCAGAGAGAGAGGGAGACACAGAATCGGAAACAGGCTCCAGGCTCTGAGCCATCAGCCCAGAGCCCGACGCGGGGCTCGAACTCATGGACCGCGAGATCGTGACCTGGCTGAAATCGGACGCTTAACTGACTGCGCCACCCAGGTGCCCCGAAGAGACATTTTTGAATGTAACAGTACAGTTTATAAGTACACTTCCAAAGTTTCTCATGTCTTTTTCTTCAGGCTTCTTCCTAGACAGTTTGAAGAGAATGTGATCTTAAGACCCATACCAGAAGGCATTAGTATTTTCTGTCAAGAAATTTTAATGAAACTGAGTAAATATATCATAATGAAAGCTCATTAAAAACTAAGTGAAAAGTGCTTTTCTGAAATGGATGGAGAAAATTCTGTGTGATGTTGTTTAATAACAATGACCAAATTTAGAAATTTCTCATATATAGACAGTTATTTGGAAAACTGAATGTTTACTGTAATTAGGTAAATGGTGCTAAGAATGAACTTGAAACCATGTTATATTGGGTTTTATTAAGGTTATTGTACATGTGTTACTTGCTTGCATGCATTTCTCTTGTGATTTACTAAAAAGGGAAACATATGCTTGAATAATATGTTCCCATGCTGAGATACTTAATTATTTTTCAGTATGGGTTCTATCTGGAAAAAAAAAAGAAAAAGGTTCACAAATTGGCAGCAGAATGAATTTTACTGTCAGCTAATACGTTTGCTGTCCTGTGTCACCAAATGGCTTCTCTACTGTATACCTTATAATGTGTGTCATCACTTCATAAACATTTACTGCAGTACTTTGGGAAAATGCCCCTTGTTTAGAAAAACTAGGGATTGTCCACTGACTTAATGTAAAGCTGTAAGTCTTAGGCTACAGAGAATCTCTATGAAGATAGCAATTTCTTATCTCCCCTATTTTTAGATTAACTATGTTCTTACCTGAAAACTATAGTTAATCCAGTTTTATACTCTTTTGCTGTTATCCAGCAGTGTAGCCCCCACCCACATATGGTTATTGAGTATTAGAAATGTCTCATCTGAATTGAGATATGCTGTCTGTAAAAATGAATGTCAGATTCTGAACACTGAATATGTATAAAAATGTGAAATATCCCAATAATTTTATTTTGATTTCATGTAGAAATGTTATCTTAGGTGAAGGTTAAACAAAGCATCTTATTATATTAATTTCACCTTTCTTTTGCTTTTACAAATATGGCTATTAGAAAATTTAGAAGTACATCAGTGTCTCATGTTGTATTTCCTTTGGACAGCACTAAACTAGTGTGGTTGATTACCTGTGGATCATAATACTAAATATTTGTAGCCTCAAAACATAAGGAAAATTTAATTAACTTTATACACAGCATTCCTTCACTTAAAATATTTTGCATGCTGTCTTCAGTATGCATTGTATTTCTACTTCATAGCTGTGTTTATTTTGTGTTTTTCTATGCTTGCGTGAGCAAACACCTGCCCCCCACCCCTTGCCCATTGATTTAATATATATATATATAAGGTCTCCTGAAAATCTGAGAAAATAGTTCTATGTGAAACTGCCTATTCCACATTGATTTCTCCCTTCTCTGAATTAAATCTGTTCCTTGTATAAAGAAGATCAGAAAGCTAATATTTAATTAGATTCTATCTTAAAATAATCTTTAATGGTGTTAGTGTGTTTCTTAGAAACATTTTGGGAGGGAGGGGTGACACATATATTATTTCTCTGTTTTCAAAACTGATCATTATCAGTGCACAAAAAACTGTGAGAGATCATGAATAGTCACTTAATGGATCCCCTCTTGAGTTGTAAGTGTAGTCTGTCATTCTTCCAGTTTTCCTAGTGCCTTGATAGCTGTTACTAATATTATAAAACATAGACTCATGATTGAAGATTACACTCTTTTAGTTAAGCCAGTTTTTTAAGTGGTGCTATAGAGAATTAAGTTCTGACCCCAATGAAAAACAAAGGAAGTTCACTGTTGCACTTTTCTTATAATCTGCAATGCCTCCCTTTGTACTTTTAACCTGTAATGTGTCTCTCTTTACTTAAAAAAAAAAAAAAAATGGCCTTTGAATGTTCAGGATGATGCCCGCCAACTGTTTGTGCTTGCTGGAGCCGCTGAAGAAGGCTTTATGACTGCAGAACTTGCCGGAGTTATAAAGAGATTGTGGAAAGATAGTGGTGTACAGGCCTGTTTCAACAGATCCCGAGAGTACCAGCTTAATGATTCCGCAGCATAGTAAGTAATCGTAACTTCAGAACTAAACTATCATGAATAATTACTTGGAAGTCAAATATACCTCCAAGTCAATGCTATTGCAGAATTGGCTGACACATTCTTGTAAAACTCAGGATATTCAGGATGACAGTATTTGAAAACTTTATTTTTTGTGTGTGGATAGCATTCCAGTTATTTTCTCTGCCTTCAGAAGTGTCTCAAGAGACTCATGCTTATGTAACTCTAATTGAAACATGCAGAATGGACTTTTTCCAGTGAATTTCCAAGAAAGTAATTGGAACTTCACAAAGTTCACTCTGAATTTGGGTGTATCTCTAGTTTTCCTGGGACTAGCCCAAGGGGAGGGTAACTTATTGTGTTCTTTTTATTATTTTTAAATTTTATTTATTTATTTTTAGAGAGACAAAGACGGCATGAGTGGGGGAGGGGCAGAGAGAGAGGGAGTCAGAGAATCCCACGTAGGCTCCTCATTGTCAGTGTGGAGCCAGACACGGGGCTCAGACTCAACGAAATTGTGAGATGACCTGAGCTGAAACCAAGAGTCAGAAAGTTAAATGACTGAGTCACCCAGGCAACCCTGATTGTCTTCTTTTCATTACACTAATAGTGCCTGAGAAGAGTTACTCATCCAGTGACAGGCACTTTGTGTGTATGGTGAAGGAGTATATGGTGATCCCAAGATATCTTCTGTAGCTCTACACTTGAAAATTATCAACTGTATGTTCCCTGTTGCACTAGACATCAGTATTTTGTAAGAAAAATCTTCCCTGATTTTTTTGGATGGTGGCCACAGACAGTTCATAAAGCAAGTTGTGATAAAACCTGGTCAGGGAGCTTTCTGCTTGGTGATCTAGATAACAAAAAAATCAAGTATTTGTTTGCATTATTTGACACACATACTCAGCAGAAATGTAAGGTATGAATGGCCTTGATTGGTCTTCAGACATGTGCTCTGTACTCATTTTGCTTCCCAGAGTTGTTCCATTTTCTTGAAAGAGCTATTGGCTTTTAGGGACACAAGTGAGAATAAGAATATGGTGGGTATTAGTAAGATCTAGGTAAATACACATACTTCACAGTGAAAAACAAACTGGGTATGGCTCTTCCTGATTACCACGTCCCATGTCATTGGTTACACATCAGAGTACTCAGTATGTGTCACATGAGTAGTTTAGTGCAGATGAGTAAATAATAGACATTTTTGTGGAACCCATGCCCATTTTTGTCATGCTCTATTTTCTGGTCTGTGTTTTTAATGCTTTGCCACTCTATACACCATACATGTTAATATGTACGTATTTTATACACGTATAAGTCACATGTTACTGAATATGTAGTTCCACTGGTGTCATCTTTGTCCTCAGTGAGTTTGACTCACTGATTAGGTCTTTGCCTCCCTGTTTTATATACTTACAGTACCAAAATTTTTTTTTTCAGAATGCTCACAGATTTACATTTACTTTGAAGTAATTTGATTTGTATTTTTGTTGAAATTATTTACTTCCTGCCTCTGCCACTACACTGTAAATTCAGTAAGGTCTGCTTTTACCGTATGTTCTTTCTTCATTGCCTGACACATAATTGTCATTCACTGTGCCTTTGTTTAGTAATGAATGAACTAACAAACCATACTTTACAGAAGGTAGAAGAGAAATTAGAAAAAAAATTATTTACAAAACATAACTCTTACACCATATTATTTGCTTTAGCACCACGAGCACCTGCAGAAAGATCTAAATGGGAATCCCTGCCATGTTGAGAAGAGTGCTCTGAGCCGAGCCCACCAAGGGGAGATTTTTCAGTAGTAAAGGGGTGCTTCTCGGGGACAATGGACTGAAGTCTGTTTCCCCATATGGTGGTACTTCCTGGACCCCTGCAGTCTAATGGCCACGGCTTGTCTCCTGTGTACAGTGCACTGAGAAGAATAAGCCATTTTGTCTCCCCAGTAGTTCATTACTAGTGGTTCTGACCTTAAGATGGCAATAATGGAGCCATTTTCCAAGAATGAAGGAAGTCACAGAAATTTTCTCCTCCACAGTGGTTACAGTGCATCTTGATTTCCGAGTTTTTGACTGGGGGTGGGGGGGGCTGCCAAGTTGCCCATTACGACTGTCCAAGCACCAGTTTACTTTAAATTTGTGATCATTTAAAACAATTGGAGTTTTTAATTGTGCCGGTTTTTCTTATTTGTCACGTTGAAATATAAATGTGTGTTATCTTTAGAGGCAATTCTGAAGCAGTTTTAAGCAAAGAAATGGATCTGAGTAATCAAAGCCCATTTTAAGTGAGAGTAACACTACTTAAAAGGGACAATGAGTAAAATCTTGCCATGGCCTGTTTATTAGGTTAGATTTTCTTACAATAATACATAACGTTATATATGTGGAATTAAAAACACAGATAAGTACTGGGGGATTATTATCAGTGCAGTAAGGTAAGATTCTTTTAAGTTAAGCAAATAATACAGATAACTCAAGGTGTCCTCTCTCGTTGTATTCTAGTATCACATACATATACTTAACTGTCTTTAAAACATTTTTGATTACTCAGTGTTTGGATAGCTTTTGACCTCCATGTCTACAAATCAAATATTTATTAAGCTCCTTTTGTTCGCAAGACCTGTTATAAGTGGCTAAGGAACAGTTTCAGAGGATAACCTCAATTAACATTGCAGTAGTTAGTGCCTCTCTGTAATAAACATAGATGTATCTTCTAAATCGTCATTGACTAATTACTCTCAGCTATTAGAAGACACTGTAGGGATGGTCCCCACGATCAGCTGACCTTAGGATTAAGTCCAGACTTCTTTTGAATTTCTGCATCACCCTTCCTAGGGGCCTTGCTTTCTGAGAAACGAGATGTGACTGTTCCTGTCTCCATACTGTTTTACTAATTCTCCTCATGTGGATGGCATTCTCTTTTTTTTCTGTCCTATCATTCAGATTTATGTTTAAACCCCTCACCACCCATGAATGCTTCTTTAACCACCGAGGTTCACATTAATCTCTCTCTATTTGGACATTCTACAACATTATTTACTATGTAAAATGGCATGAGATAATTTACACAGAATAATTTTGTGGTATGACACCGCTACATTTGAATAGCACAACATATTTGGCATCATTGGCAGACAGTTTTGAATAGGTGGGTGACTAAAATCAGTGAGAAGTAAAATACGAATATTGATTTAGAGAGCCAGTAAAATGCAGAGTAAAAGAGCATGTGCTGTTTTCCTATGTGTAACTTAAGGCTGGTTGAAAAGGAACAGTATTGAATTCAGCCTTTGACTAGAGGTTACTCATCAGTTTCTTAAAAGTGTAAGATTCTCAGAATCCTCAAGGGTAATGTCTGGAAAATAAACACAGTGCTATATAAAAAATGTGTAGTAAAGAATTTTAAGAAACAAACTTGTAGTGTACAGTTGGTTTTGTGTGGTTTTTAAGAAGTTGTTACTCTGTTTTGTTTCCAACAAGGAGAATGACTAGTGTCCTTAGGAAACAAAGAACACAACACTTGAAAAGTGTTAAAAGAGCTTTGTGGCTGGAGACTTATATAAACGTTTTCATTTCGGTGGGAGTTAATAGAACATATAAACTTCAATTGTTTTATTACCGAGAAATGTAACGATTTCCAGTAATTTGAATATTGCATGCATCAAAATGTTTTACTCCTTGATTGAGGAGATCTTTAATGGCTGTATTAATGATTAGCTTATTGTCTTATTTATTTTTTCAGCTATTTGAATGACTTGGACAGAATAGCACAACCAAACTACATTCCAACTCAACAAGATGTTCTCAGAACTAGAGTGAAAACTACAGGAATTGTTGAAACCCATTTTACTTTCAAAGATCTTCATTTTAAGTGAGTAGCTGCAAAGCATATAATTTACAAATTTAGATATAAAACACGTTGTTTAGTAAAAAAGTGGTAAAAGTATTTAAAAACTGAGCTAAAAATTACAAAAGAAAACTTTTCTTAGGTTATTGGACAAAGCATTTTTGGGTAAAAGAGGGTAACAAACATTCTTAGAAGGAATATTTGTATTTTTATTTGAGAAAAAATGGCCATGCAATCTCTTTTGCCTAGATTTTTCAAAGTGATTTAAATAGTTTTTGACTTTTATTTCTGAATAGAAAATATTACTCTGATATTATAAAGTGTTGTCCTACATTCTTCACAAAAAATTACTGATTGAATAAATGCTTATTTATGGAAATACTAAAAGTGAAGGGTACCTTTTTAAAAGTTTTCATGAGAATTCTTATTCATGCAAACGTGTGTACTTTTTTAGGTTGAAAAATGTTCGTTTAATGTAGAATGTAATGAATATTGATTTACTGAGGTTTGAGTAGAGAAGCACAGACTTGGAGCCATTGGAAATGCTCACTTTGTCCAGTCCACTCGGGTCGTGACAGACCAGACCCAGGGACTCTCAGTGAAACATTACATTCAGATTTACAGACCTGTGTTCCTCTTTTTTAAAGCATGAGAAAACCACTTGGACTTTGCTTCAGTTAACTCTAGTGCTCTGAAATAGTAATAATAAAGCAGGATTTCTGAGAGCATCTAAAAAAGATTTGTAGTCAAAGATAAAAAAAAACAAATATATTGGTGAGCTTCCTTATAAATAAGTTGTGGAAAGTAGTTAGCTATATGCAACTGTACTTCTGACTCCTTCCCTGAATATCTTAAATACATTTTTTTTTTATTACCGCTTGTCACTAATTTATTCTACATTCAGTGGTTCATGTAATTGAGTTTTCCAGCAAACTAAAATTGAATTTTAATTTTCCATGGCAGCTTCCCTCCAAAAAGAAAAAACCCAAATCCAAACATCGCCCTGCCTTTTTTAAAGAGAATTACAGATCATAATTAGTCTATCTGACCATGTAACTTTGTACTTTAATACTTGGTAAAGTTTTGTTGAAGCGGTCACTGGACTTTTTTCCTTGCTGGCAATAGCTCTTATCAAAATCATTTACTTTCTTTTCATCTGTTTACTACTTTTAGGATATTAAATGACCAAAGTCAGGAATAGTAAAACATGAATATTTAAATAGTCTGATATGTCTGATCTGAGAACTATTGTCATATTTATCTTAAAGTTATAAAATAAGGAAGCTCAGTGTCAGAATGAGGCTCCAAAGGTTTGTTGTTTTGTTTTTTTTGTTTACCTTAGATTCAGATTTTTTTTTGTTTACTTTGTTTTAAAGACCATATTTTAAAAGCAAACTTAAATCATTATGTTCAGATAATGGCTTTGTTCTAACAAATGCAGTTTGAGGAGAAAATGCATGGAGTTGGGGGTTAGCAAGTAAGAATACTTGAATTAAGTTTCCCTATTAGGTAAAGAGGACGATTGGTTAAGAGTCTTACCAGAAGGTATTACACTCTGGCCCACTGTTGGAGGTATAAACATAAATGGGGTGATTGCCTCTCAGGGGAACTTGTAGAGGGAAGAGCTCTGTCAGTGGGAAGGCACAGTGCTAAATGTGCAGTCTGTCATGTGGCACTTGATGAAATCTGTACAAAATTCACTTTCAGTGTTGGTTAATCGTAAACATTCGCTTTCCTGACCATGCTCTTCATTCTACCCTCAATTTCTCGAAGTTGTCATTTCATCCTCAAGCAAGTGCTGAGATTCTGTAAATTCTCTCTCACCATGATACCCCCAGGAAGTCCCTTTATCTTTAGTCTCCTTGGGTGAGGTAGAATTTCACAGGATGTGTTTCATTACTGTTTTCACTTGCTGCCTTAAACATAGGTTTGTCAGGAACTTCAGATAAACTTTGTCTTATTTTGGATTTGGGTTCTGTTAAATTACTATCATTGTAAAACATATGGTTCCAACTTTGCTTTTTATATGTTGAGTCTCAGAAGAATGAGGGCAGAAATATACTTAGAATAATTCTACAGGGAACTCTTGAATTTTGTGTGCTTTGTATTATAATTCATTGTCTCATTTTAATGAATGGCTGATGTAAAATTTCAGTTTCATTTAATTTTGGTATGATTGGAATTAAATTCAAAATGAGGCAATAAAGCACAATAATTTTAGAATATATTTATCACCTCTGTGAGCGTTTGTGAAAAGTGTCTCTGTGGACTACTATATTGCTTTTAAGGAATCAGCAATTTTACTATAATATTTTTGCCAAATACAGAATTAAAGCATCCCTTCTATTATAAAATTATAAGACAAATTTATGTTACTTTCATATAGTACTATAAATGTAAAGTGGGTTTTGGAGTGTATTTACAGGGTTGACGTGCACATACGGTCAGCGCTTTGTTGATCACTGTGCTATCAGATGACAGTCTGAGAATGCCAGAACATCTCAGGATCTTCTTGGGGGTACCTGGGTAGCTCAGTTGATGAAGTGTCCAACTCTTCATTTCAGCTCAGGTCATGGTCTCAGGATTATGGGATTGAGCCCTGCTTTGGGCTCTGTGCTGGGAGTGGAACTTGCTTAAGATTTTCCCTTTCCCTCTGCCCCTCTCCCTGGCTGGCACTCTTTCTTTAAAAAAAAAAAAAAGTGGGGGGGATGCGTGGGTGGCTCAGTCAGTTAAGCATCTGACTTCAGCTCAGATCATGATCTCATGGTTTGTGAGTTTGAGCCCCACATCGGGCTCTGTGCTGACAGCTCAGAGCCTGAATGCTGCTTAGGATTCTGTGTCTCCCTCTCTTTCTGCCCTTCCCCGCTCACATTCTGTCTCTCCTTCAAAAATAAACAAACATTAAAAAAAATTTAAAAAAAAAACATATCATGATCTTCAATATCCCCTTGTACTTTCCCCTCTCTCCCTAAAAGAAACCTGAGAAAAATCAAATCCACTTCCTATTTGATGCTAGAAAAAAGTTTCATCTGTTCATATGAAGGAGAACATATTTTTGTTTTTGATGACTTTTTAAAAACTTCAGAATTTGAAGATAATTCTAAAGTATGTGTGAAAAAGGAATAATGCCTTATGCACAGTCATTTGTTACATTAGATTTTAGTCATTTTTGTTCCTTGGCTAATGAATTAGACTAGTGATTCTCAAAGTATGGTCCCCGGACCAGCAGAATCAACTTTATGCACCTGGTGAGTCTGATTTATACTGAAGTTTGAGAAGTATCAGTTTATTCATTTCTAAACTGAATAAATTTAGGAGATTTCTTCTGTAAATTACTTGATTATAAGTTAAAAAGCCTTTTTATATGTAACATTCCCACAGCATAACTGGAAGACCTAGATCTTTTTTTTTTTAATTTTTTTTTCAACATTTATTTATTTTTGGGACAGAGAGAGACAGAGCATGAACGGGGGAGGGGCAGAGAGAGAGGGAGACACAGAATTGGAAACAGGCTCCAGGCTCTGAGCCATCAGCCCAGAGCCCGACGCGGGGCTCGAACTCACGAACCGCGAGATCGTGACCTGGCTGAAGTCGGACGCTTAACCGACTGCGCCACCCAGGCGCCCCTCTTTTTTTTTTTTTAATGTTTATTTTTGAGAGAAACAGAGATAGAGACAGATCATGAGTTGGGGAGGGGCAGAGAGAGAGGGAGACACAGAATCCAAAGCAGGCTCCAGGCTCGGAGCTGTCAGCACAGAGCCCGACATGGAGTTTGAATCCATGAACCATGCAATCATGACTTGAGCCGAAGTCAGAAGCGTAGCTAACTGAACCACCCAGGTGCCTCGCAAGACGTGGATCTTTAATGTAGTAAAGCTAGTCTATTATTGCTTGAAGGTGTTTTAAAATATTCTGTAGACCTAGTTCATGCATTCATTCAACAAATATTTGTGAACTATGACAAAGTCTTTGTCTTTACATTGTTGGGGGAAGGGAGATAAATGTTCAGATGTTCAGGAGGTGATAATTACTATAACGAAGAATAAAACAAGGTAGGGGGGATATATTACTTTCCTAGGGCTGCTATAACAAATTACCACAAGCTCGGTGGCATAAAACAACAGAAATATATTCTTTCATAATTCTGGGGGCTAGAAGTTTAAAATCAACATGTCTGCACAACTGTGCTTCTGAAGGCTCTTGGGAAGAATCCTCTCTTGCGTCCTCCTGCTTCTTGTAGTGGTTGGAAATCCTTGGTGTTCCTTGGCCTTTGACGCGTGGGCTTCTTCCCTGGTTCCTGCCTCAGTTTCTCTTTCCTTTTATATTTTACTATAGCCACAAGGTGAACCAAAGCCATACCCTGCACATTTTGCTTGGAAATTTCCTCAGCCAACATTCAAGTTAATTTCTTAACAGCCAGCCCAGTTTTTGCGACTTTACAACAAGAATTGCCTTTGCTCCAGTGTCCAGTAACACATTTCTCATTTCCTTCTGGAACCTCATCAAAAAATCTAACATCATGTTCATGAATGATATATGTATATTCTCTAAGATCGAAGCTTTTCTGCCATCTTTTCACTCCCGAGCATCTCCAGAATTATTACCTTAGATGTCTGTTTCGAACCAGCCATCTTTTCAAAACAATCTGGGCTTTTATTGTGTAGTAACTCAAGGTTGTTCCAGTCTCTACATAGTATCCAATTCCATAACCACTTCCCCCATTTTAGGTGTTGGTTACAGCAGCACCCCACTCTGAGCACTAACGTCAGGGTTGTCCATTTCAAGGAATTGACTTACGTGACCACGGGGCCTGGCAAGTGTCAAGTTTGTAGGGCAGGACAGCAGGCTCGGACAGGAACTGATGTTTCAGTCTTGAGGTAGAATTTCTTTTCCTTGGGGGAAACTTCAGTTTTTGTTCTTAAGGCCCTCCAACTGATAGGATAAGGTCTCTCCCCTTACCAGGGATACTCTGCTGAGAGACGACTGATTTTAGATGTTAAGCACAGCAGTAAAATACCTTCACAGAAGCACCTAGGTTAGTGTTTGACTAAATAACTGCGTATGATGGCCTAGCCAAATTGACACACAAAACCAACCATCACAGAAGGAAAATGTCTGATGGGATGGAAAGGGTTTGCTTGTTATTTTATATTGAGTGGTCAAGATACATGTAACATTGGATCAGAGAAGTTACCTAAAGTAAATAAAGCCTTTTTGGTAAGGTTATTTTCAAATTCTTTGTTAACAAATGGGTAATCATTTTAATTTCTTTTATTTTGTTCTTATTTAATCTTTATTACCAGCTCTCCTTTTTGTGTGTTAAACCCATTTTAATTTACTGTGTGGTAGAATCATTTTGTTATATATCATACTTAAGGAACAAATCACTAGCTAACCCAATAGAATGAACAGCATTGAAATAATGATAAAAGTAACAATATTAGTTGATGTACTCCGATTTGCTTTATAGGCCAATACTATTCTGCAGGGAAATTCTTTTTGCCTGAGAATTAAATAGGGACTATTTTAATTAGTGCACCATCTAGATGAATGGAGCCTTTTAAAATGCACCAGTTTGCATAGTGTTTCCATTATATAAGTGGTTATTTCTAGGTTGCATAACAATCTATGTGCATTTCAACTTTTGCTTAACTTCATAAATTCTTATAAGAAAAAAATGAACAGATCATTTTCTGTATGCTGCTTGTGTTACTACCTGTACACCAGGCTACAATAGTCTACAGTTAAACATTGTATAAAAATTGGGTTTTTTCCTCTAACTTTTAAGACTATTCAGTAAGGAAACCCATTTGTCTCCTATTTCTTATTTTTGTTCCTATACCTTGGCTTTGCTTTTTAATTTAGGCCACCTGTTGGCCCCAGCTAAGTGTCACTTGCTCACTCAGCATTTTCTTACCTGGAAGTGAGGTTTCCCCTTTATGTCAGAGTCCTACTTTTAGCCTCTGAAAGAAACAAAACATTTTGTGGTGGGAAGAAGGGACCATGTCCTCTGCCTCTAATGTTCTGTGACTCTGGCAAATTGAATTTACTCTAATCTCTGCGTTCCCTAGTTGCTTCCTGTGACTTCTCAGTGTTTACTCATAGTACACTCCACTCATTTGTATCTGCTTTCATGTTCTGATCTAAGTGTTCTCGTATGCTAATGAATATGTTGTTTTTTGAGGGTATTTTGAGCTTTGTTTTCAATCAAAAATTTTAAAAACCAGACTTTCCCTTTGCGAAAACCAATTTGTGACATCATTTTCCTCCCGTGTAATGTCCTTTTCTTTCCTCCCATCCCACATTCCCCCTGCAATTTGGAGCTTTTTTGATGAAATTCTAGAACCCCTTTCTAACATTTAAGGTGATGTCCAACTCCTTTTTTCTCTTATAGAATGTTTGATGTGGGAGGACAGAGATCTGAGCGGAAGAAGTGGATTCATTGCTTCGAAGGAGTGACCGCCATCATCTTCTGTGTGGCTCTGAGTGACTATGACCTGGTTCTAGCCGAAGATGAGGAAATGGCAAGTAGAACCACTGTGAAAGATGAAGGGCTGGAGATACTGCCAAGGATTTTTCTGAGAATAATTCTTGAGTAATTCTCGCTAATGGCGTGAGTTATTTGAAAGTTCAGGCTCTTTCCTCTGGCTCTTCTTTGTATATACTGAAAGGGAAGTACGCTAAAGAAGCACAGAGGGACCCCAAGAATAAGAAAAGACTGAGAGTTAATCTCCCTTCAATCTGAGATGTTTAATTATGCATTTCCTGTATCTGCTATCTAGGAAGTGACTAAAAGTAAACTCCTGTAATAGTCCAAGGCTCATTTTTCTTCACTTGTTACTTCTGCCAGCTCTGTAATCTTTAATCCATGTTATACTTTGCTATTGCCGTGTAATTTTCAGAGGTGTTGCAATGTACCATTAATCTAGGGAAAATATTTTTATATAGAAATTTAAAGTTTTGTCATTTTATTTTTTATCCTTAACATGTTTGTTTATTATTTTTGAGGGAGAGGGGGCAAGAGAGAATCCCAAGCAAGCTCTGCGGGGCCTGAACTCAAACTCATGACCCGCAAGATCAAGACCTGAGCCAAAATCAAGATTCACATGCTCAACTGACTGAGCCACTCAGGCGCTCCTAAAGTGCTGTCATTTAAAAAAAATTTTTTTAAGTCTTTATTTTTGAGAGAGAGAGAGAGAGAGGGAGACACAGAATCCGAAGCAGGCTCCAGGCCCTGAACTATTATCCCAGAGCCCGACGCGGGGCTTGAACCCACAAACTGCGAGATCATGACCTGAGCTGAAGTCAGGCACTTGACCAGCTGAATCACCCAGGCGCCTCAGAGCACTGTCTATTCTAAGTTAACTTTAGTACAGACTGGGGAAAAAGAGATCAAAATGTCACTTTTGTATTTTTAAAATCAGGCATGTGCAATTATAGTGCAGTTCACCATCACATATTCCTTTCTGTCAGTGTCCTTTTGATACCACATATACTAGAAGAACAGGAAACTGGAGTGGACGATTCCGTCCCTAACACACCATTATATTTAGAGGGTTGGGCTAATTGCTCAATTTATTAATTTTTAAAAACCTTTACTTATCTTTTAATGGAGAAGCTTCCATTAACTTTGTAACAGTGAGATCTCTTTTTGAATGTTCACACTTGGTGTCTCTAGATTGCAGGGTCCTGCAGCAGGGTGTTCCCAGGTACAGTGACACATAGTGGGCACTGTGCGAGTACGGGTTGAATGCAAAAAGTGATGAGTAGTGTACACATTCATCTCCCCTGCAATCAATACTTGTTCTTAAATGGCGGGAATGTATTTCTGTGCTACATTATTTTTCAGCTGACCGAGCTCTCTCTTCTGATAACACTATTTTTTAAAAGTAATACTTTCAAAACCCTTCGTGTTGTGACAAACTGTATTCTTTCCTGTTACAGAATCGAATGCATGAAAGCATGAAGTTGTTTGACAGCATATGTAACAACAAATGGTTTACAGATACGTCTATTATACTTTTTCTAAACAAGAAGGATCTCTTTGAAGAAAAAATCAAAAAGAGCCCTCTCACTATATGCTATCCAGAATACGCAGGTATTTTACTTTCTGTGGATAACTTGTCAAGTCATATATTTCTAACTAAAGTTCCCCTAAGGCAAGATTTCAGTTGTAGATCACCTTTAATTAAAATTATTAAACTGCATTCACGTACAGGTAGTTCCTTGAGGCGTAGCTAAGATTATTGGAAATAACATATTCAAATGGAAAAGCTGTTAGGTAATTTTTTATGATGATCTTCTGTCAGGTATGTGTGATGCACAGTAAATAAGACCAGTCTGTGTTCACGGTCTAATCTCAAAGACGGATGTACTCTTACACACAAAAAAAGCTGCATGTTACTATAAAAGAACATGAACCGTAGTTATAAGGGTTATAAATGAAGAAGGAATCCGCGAACCACTTATTTTTCAGGGGAGTCACACAGTTTGACAAGTAATCCCAACACTGGTAAGGAGACTGTTAATGGTCTTGTAATTCGCCTACTGTGGAAAATGGCCTGAACTTAGAAAAGGAGACCTGAGATGCGGTCCTGGCATTTCCATAACTAGCTCTTTGATCTTGAACAAGGCAGTTAATTTATCTGGGTCTCAGTACCCCATTTGTAAAATCAGAAGTTGAGCTAAAACTTGGTTTTAGTTTAGCTCCTTAGAGCACCTCCTGGGCTGCTATTGAAAAGTAGGTACAGGGACTAAAGATACTTCCCTCCCTCCCCTATCCATGCACACAGCATCTCTCTTACTAAAGCAGGGTGACTTTGTTTCTGTTTTACATATTAGGTTTCTGAATAAGATTTTACTTTAATGAGGAAGAAAGATTCTGAGCCTCAAAGAGTTTGACTACCACTGGTTTATATGGTCTCTAAACCCAAATATTCTGAAGAGTCTGGTTAATTTAGCTAATTGAAAACAAGTTGCCCTGACCACATCCTTTATTTTTTTTTTTAAAGTCTCAAGAATTTGTTTCATTATAAACACAAAGGTAGTCTTGTATTGAGTATATTAATAGTACACTGAGTATTTACTGCCTTTTCACAGGCCTAAGATAAAACAGCCCTATGATTTCAGTGCTCTTACATCCCACTCATGCAGGCGAGAACACTGGGGCTCAAGGACAGTCTAAATCCAAACCCAAGTCTATGGGCGCGCCTGCACCCAGCCCATTAACAACCAGACTGCCAGAGTTAAATTCTCATTAGAACCAAAGGGGAAGGGGCGCCTGGGTGGCGCAGTCGGTTAAGCGTCCGACTTCAGCCAGGTCGCGATCTCGCGGTCCGGGAGTTCGAGCCCCGTGTCGGGCTCTGGGCTGATGGCTCGGAGCCTGGAGCCTGTTTCTGATTCTGTGTCTCCCTCTCTCTCTGCCCCTCCCCCGTTCATGCTCTGTCTCTCTCTGTCCCAAAAATAAATAAACGTTGGGAAAAAAAAAAAGAACCAAAGGGGAAGATTCTTGGATAAATATAATCACACTACTCATTATTACAGGTCATTTTGTATACTCCCATACGTTGATTCAAAAAAATTTCACACAGTTGCTTATTTTTAAACTTCCGTGTTCTTTTTGAAAGTCCTTGTATCCTGTCACCTTGTTCAGAAACATTTTAGTGCTCGTTAGGAATAAAACTATGTGTAGTCCTGTCTGAGTTTGAAGTTATCCAGAGTCAAGGTGGCTCAGTTTTGCCTTTACTTTCATCTGTCTTTCAGTTTATTTTTACCATTTTCTATTATGAAGTAGCCATTTTTTCTAATATTACCAGAGTTGCCCAAATGAATCCATAAATACCACATACCTACAGGGATTTCAGATCAGCCAAGAAAGGATATTTCTTATGTTGTCAAGATACTAAGAATCCGTGATCTCACAATCTTTGAACACAGAGAGTATTGCATAATTTTTTCACAATGCCAATATCAGGATTAGAATGTAAAGTCCTCACTACATGCTCTAAGTCATGATTCCATTGCTTCTTGCTGCAACCTCCACTTTTAATTCCTGTCTGTGTAGCCTCTAAACTAGGAGCAGGCAGAGGTGGGTTTATCTCCACCTCTGCCTGCTTCTATTGCACCTCTTCTGTTAAAATATCAGTATGTTGGCATTTCACCACATTCCATCTGCAACCTGTAATCTTTTAGCGATCCCTGCTTTCATGGTCATGTTTTTCCTCACCATGTTGAATTCCATTGTCAACTCTAATTTCTCCCTAGAGCCTCAGGCTTGCGTTTCCAGCTGCTTATTGAACATATACGTGTTTTTTAACACCCGAAACTCCTGTTACTGTTTTCTCAAATCTCCTCCATCTCCCTTTCAATTATATTACCAATCCTTCCCAGTTCTTCATTCTTGAACCAGATCATACTTGCCTTTATGACGGTTCTATCACATCTAGAAAATACCTATTACCTTCTCACCACATCCTTGCCATTCTTAAGAATTAAAATCAGATTGAGAAATACACTCATGAGTTTATTCATGTATCTTAGTTCTCGGCATTTTGCAGTCTAGCTACCCATAATATATATAGCAAGTTAAGCTCTGCACTCTGTTCAAGAAGCTTTTTTCTCAAAACATATTTTTAACTGACAGGTTGCATTAACATCTGTCAATAAGACACAGTTTATTGCTTTAGAATTTCAGAGTACCAATAAACTCAATTTTGATTTGTAAAGTATATGGTTGTCTGCTAGCCACCTGAAAGAGTTAAAATATAAACTTATTTTGACAGCCTAGAAAAAGTAGAAAAATTCTTAGAAACTTAGAACCTACTAAGACTGAATCATGAAGAAACAGAAAATCTAAACAGACCAATTACTTCATGATCAAAACCTCTCAATAAATATGTCCATGACCATATTTATTTATGTCCAGATGGCTTTACTGATGAATTCTACCCACATTTACAGAATAATTAATACCAGTCCTTCTAAAGCTCTTGGAAAAGAAAAATAGAGAAAGGAACACTTCCAAAATCATTTTATGAGGACAGCATTTTACCCTAATACCAAAACTAGACAAGGATGGCATAAGAAAATTACAAGCCAGTACCCCTGGTGAACTTAAATGCAGAAATCCTCAACAAAATGTTACCAAACCAAATTCAACAATATTTTAAAAGGATTCTACACAGTGATATAGTGGGATTTATTCCAGGGATACAAGGGTAGTTCAATTTTGTTAAAGTGGTATATATCATATTGATTTGCAAATGTTAAAGATAAAAATCTTGATCCTCTCAAATGATACAGAAAAACCACTTGACAAAACTCAACATTCATTTATGCTAAAAACTCAAAATAATGTACCTCAAAACAGAAAGGCCAGGGGCGCCTGGGTGGCGCAGTCGGTTAAGCGTCCGACTTCAGCCAGGTCACGATCTCGCGGTCCGTGAGTTCGAGCCCCGCGTCAGGCTCTGGGCTGATGGCTCGGAGCCTGGAGCCTGTTTCCGATTCTGTGTCTCCCTCTCTCTCTGCCCCTCCCCCGTTCATGCTCTGTCTCTCTCTGTCCCAAAAATAAATAAACTTTAAAAAAAAAAAAAAAGGCCATTTATTAGGTCACGGTTAACATCATACTTCAACAAAACAAGGAAACCCATCAGAAATAAAACAAGGAATCCCTTTCTTGCCACTTTTATTCAACATAGTATTATTTGATTATAGTATTATATATACATATTATTCAACATCTATATATATATGTATACATATATAAAGACTCCACTAAACTACTGTTAAACTAATCAATGCATTTAGTAGATTTGCAGGATACGGTATATATGCAAAAATATTTTGCATTTCCATACACTAGTGATGAACGATCAGAAAGAAATTAAGAAAACGATACCATTTACAACTGCATCAAAAAGAAAAAAAACTAACTAGGAATAAATGTAAGAAGGGGAGAAAAAATATCTCTACACTGAAAATTCCAAGACATTGGTGAAATAGAAGAAGAAAAAGTAAGGGTAAGATATTTATGTTCACGGATTAGAAAAATATTGTTAAAATGACCATACTACCCCAGAGCAACCTACAGATACAGTGCAATCCCTCTCAAAATATTAGTGGCATTCTTTTTCACAGAAATAGCATAAACAATCCTAAAATTTGTTTGGAACCACAAAAGAACCTGAATAGCCAAAGCAGTCTTGAGAAAGAACAGAGCTGGGGGCAGCAGGGTCCCTGATTTTCAGCTGTGTTGCAAAGCTATAGTAATCAAAACATTATGGCATTGACACAAAAATAGACACACAGATGTGAGAAATAGCCCAGAAAATAAACCTACACATATGTGATCAAAAAATTACAACATATGAGCAAAGAACATGCAATGAAGAAAAGATAGTATCTTCAATAAATTGTTCTGGGAAAACTGGACCACTATATTAAACCATACAAACAATTAACTTAAAATGGATCAAAGACCTCAAACCATAAAACTGCTGAAAGAATATAAGCAGTAGCTCCTTCATGTTAGTCTTAGTGATGATTTTTTGGATCGGACATCAAAAGTGAAGACAACAAAAGCAAAAATAAACAAGTAGTACCACATCCAACTATAAAGTTTTTTGCACAGCCAAGAAAACCAACAACATGAAAATGCAACCTATGGAATGGAAGATGATACTTGCAAATTATGTATCTGATAAGGGGTTAGTATTGAAAATATATAAAGAAGTCCTACTACTCAATAGCAAAAAACACAATCCACTAAAAAATGGGCTGAGGATCTGAAGAACCATTTTTCCAAAAGAAGACCTACAATGGCCAGCAGGTCCATGAAGAGGTGCTCAGAATCTCTATAATCATCAGGGAAATGCACACCAAAACCACAGTGAACTACCACCTCACCGATTAGAATAGGTACTGGCAAAAAAACAAGTGTGGTGAGGTTATAGAGAAAAGGGAACCCTCTTGCCCTGTTGGTGAAAATGTAATTTGGTGTGCAGCCCCTGTGGGAACTGTAAGGAGATTCCAAAAAAATTAGAAATATCCAGCAATTCTACTTCAGGAAATTTCTCCAAAGAAAATGAAAACACTGACTTAAAAAAGATAGGTGCTACCTGCGTGTTTATTGCAGCATCATTTGCAGTAGCTGGTGAAGCAGCTGGTAGAGTTCTGTGAGCAGGGTCCCAGGTGGGAGTTGGTTATATAACATAGAGTTCTGCTGACACAGAGTAAGCTACAGGTGTGGACCACAGGATCTCAGAATAGCTTTACTAAGCAGGCTGGGTAACAGAGGACCTTGAAAGCCCAGCAAATAATTTTGTGTTACTACTGCAAGAGAGAGATCTAATAATTTTTTTTTAAATGGAACAGTTTGTGAAGTATCATGTATGTACACATATAAAATATATACATACGTGCACATTTAGGATAAATGTGAAGCTCACTGAAATTTTAAAAAGGGAAGACACAGATATGTGCACTCAGATCAAGAGACAGCATTATTTCCAGGTTCCCAGAAACTCCCATCATGCCTCCCAGTCTAATTCCTATATGGCAGCTCATTGTATAGATATACCATAACTTTTGGGTTGTTTCCTAACAAGTTAGTTCTGTTATTAACAGTCTTTATATGTCTAACGATGAACATAGGTAGGTAGGTCTGTCAAGGGCTTGCCTAGAAACTATTGCTGCATGTGATTATCATTAGCTACGGACCATTTCTGGAGTGTTTACTCAGAAGTTTTTAACCTCATGGCCGTAAACCACATTGTAGACCCGTCTACAATTTTTGAATAAAGAAAAGTGACAAATGCTAATTAATGTGTATAGAGGAAAGGGAATAAAAAATACCGATTACCATTCAACCAGGTAATTTCTTGATTATGCACTAGGCTGGAAATGAAATAGCATACCACCGTCAGGGAAGGGTTGGTGTTGGTGTTGGGATGTCGAGTATAAAGGGGAAGAAAAAGGAAGATCTGGCATTTGGATTGGGCAGGAATGAAGACCCCGGGGAGCCAAGAATACCATGCTTTTGGTGTGTTGTGTTGTGTTTTTTTTTTTTTTTTTTTTTTTTTTTTTTTTAAGGGTAACAACAGTCATTGAAAGGTAATTAACATTGGGAATTTTTCATTTAGAGGAACGCCTCTCTCTTGTTCTAGAAGGAAAAATACAGTGACATAATCCACATATTTTATATGTATGGAACTGATTTCAATATTTTCAGGTCCATTTTGCTTAGATGTGTACTCATTTTAACTTTTCGCCTTATGTTTCTTGCCTTCTCCCATCTCAGGCTCAAACACATATGAAGAGGCAGCTGCGTATATTCAGTGTCAGTTTGAAGACCTCAATAAAAGAAAGGACACAAAGGAAATATACACCCACTTCACATGTGCCACAGATACGAAGAATGTGCAGTTTGTTTTTGATGCTGTAACAGATGTCATCATAAAAAATAATCTAAAAGATTGTGGTCTCTTCTAAATTTTGCAGTTAATGGTAAAATGCATTTTCAAACCAAATGAGTACTTCTGTGTGGATCTCTCTAAATTAGAGTCTTGCAGCAACACAATGTAGTATACAGCAGATGTATCTGGGACCTGACCAAAGTTGTTCTGTTGTGTTTTTTTAACTGAAAGTAATAGAAGGACCTTTCTTAAATGTGAGAGGTGGTCCTGCAGTGGGAAACTAAGGGCAGTGTTAATGCTCGACTCTAGTGTATTGATGATTTCTGCCTATGTGTAAATATGCAAATGTATGTATACATGTATTTATAACTTTTGTTTTCCACATTACTTTTAGGCTTTAAGAGTGGCAACTTATTCTAGCGTGATGGCTTTGGTAATAAACAGAAATACTAAGTACTTTGTACTGAATGACAGACTATTACCGTGTTTGCCAGTTTTAAACAGCTTTATTTATGTTCATGTCTTGTAAATTTTTAAGTACAGTAATTAATATTAGGAAACATTGCAGCCCTTATCTTGATTATATATGTATACTTGTAATCTTAACAAAGTTATTTGTACAAACATTGCACAGACTATTTTAATAACATGATTTGTTCTTTAAATTTAATGTGTTTTATTGAAATGTTCTTAAGAGGATGAATATACCTGCCTTTGGATCAGTTATATAAACATTGTATGCATTTTAATTTTTCTTCTAAAAGTGCATGCTGATCTAATTCTACATTAGATTTGGTTTGAAAAACGGAAATTTCAGATTTTTGAGGCTATACTCTCAGACTTACTATAAACACTTAATTTTTATTCAGTTGGTTTGTTTTCACTTTGAATTTTAATATTTGGATGGTATTCATGCATTTCCTTAAAGGTGATGCCAGATTAATTTTTATACACTTTAAATAACTACATTCTTATTTATAACTAAGTTTAGGTGGATTATTGAGAGCATTTTGTGGGTAAAAATATGTCAGCATAATGAATTTTGAGACATTCATTTGTGTATTTCCTTTGGGAAATCCCTTGTACCTAGCATACATGATAGTTCCTTATTTGGAAGATAACAAGAAAGATCTTTGAATATTCAGCTGCTGATCTAATGCAAGCTTTAGATTCCTATATGTAACTACTTTCAAATTTAACTATCACACTATATATTAAAACTACTTTTTCTCTTACTCAAATTTCCACCACTTGCTTGAGTTGATATTTCTTTTTAAATTGTGCTATTATTTCTGACAATTAAATGGGCAATTACACTTAGAAAATGAGTAATAGTATTTAATAAAGTCAGTGATTTTATGTATGCTCAAATAAGTGTTACATATCAGCTAGATATTGGACTTTGATAGTCATTTCTTTTCATGATTCATGATGTGTCTCTGTGACTTCATTTCAACAAAATGAACAGCATTCCCTACCCTACTTCTGTTGTTTTACTCATCTTGAAAAAGGTCCTTCAATAAGCTTTGTGGATAAGTAGTTTCTTAGTTACGTGCTGTCATTTTGTTGAAGTATATTTCTTGAAGTGTGTGTGGGTGTGGGTAACCACAGACTACATTTTCATCTGTTATATTTTGGGGATTTGTTTTTCTTCTTTGTGATGTAAAGAAATTCAAACTTATCACAGTTTCTTAAATGTGTTAGTTTAGATTCTTTACGTGCTTTTCATGAAAGATGTTTTCATTAATTTTACTGATGGAAGACCTGTAACATCCTTATTGTGAAGCTATGTATGAAATTCACCTATACTATGAATAAATATGAATCCTGAGAAATACTGTTTAAAAAGCCACAAAGAAGCACATCTTGGTGACCATAATTGGTGAATTCCTGAACTTTATTCTGTGTAATTGTGTTACTAATAAATCCTAATAAATTTAAATTTTTAAAATTTTACAAACCTGTTGACTAAACACATGTTTGACATTGGGATTTACTAAGTATCAGTCTATGGAATGCCCATTTATTCTTTATCTTTTTGCAATTTCATCTCCACAAACTTGAGTTTTTCCTGCCTCAAGTTTCTTCAGGAGATATGGTGCCACATTTAGAACTGCCTGGTTGATATCCCCTTCTGAGAATTTACTGCCTGCCCTTAAGTCCATATGTCCCAAACCATGTTCATCATCATTCTCCCAGTTCTTACCAGTTCATCAAACCTGTTCTTACCCCCTAATTTTGCCAGTGTAACCACTCAGTATCATCATTATTCAGTGCCTCAACAGGCAACTTTTTAGCCACTTATAACTCTCTTTAGCCCTCATCTCCATCTCTGATAAGCCACCATTTTGCTCACAACTCTAGTCTTCCAATGCCTTGCCAGTTTTTATTTTTCCTTTCCATTCCTACTACCACCTACCAAATGTAGGTTTTTGCCTCACTTCTGCATGAAATGGCTTGTTAATTAAATTCTCCACTTGCCATTTTTCCTTTCTCTCATACAGGCTAGTTATCCTAACTGTGATTGTGTTCTCAGGGCATTGGCTCTGACTTTTCAATAAAACCAAGTTTAACTTTGCCTCCTATTCAGAGCTCATCCACTATCTGATCCGACTTCATTATGTCTCCACTCCTCTTCTACACTACATCCTAAAAGTACTTTGTGCATATCCTGGGCCTTCCTCCAAGTATTTGTCTACATACTGTGTGAGATATGCTTAAAACAACCCATGGGACATGGGAAGTGTTCATTCATATCTACTAATGTTACTTTTATTAGGACTTTTGTTTGTGTTACCTTTTTTAGATTCACCGGTCACATCTCTTTAGTCTGCTTTTTGGGGAACTACATGGTTCCAGTAGGGCTGCCAATCCTCCCTGGCATAGGATCAAACCTGACCAGTCCTGGTCTGTCATCACTAGGCATGTGACCCAAAATGAACCAGTCATAGTCCCAGTTATCATCCCTAAATTTATGAAAGCTGTTCTGGTTTCTAAAATTCCCTTCATTTCAGTATCCGTTTAAAGGACTCTATATGCTTCATTAAATTCATTCAGATTCAATCACTTATTGAAAAAGTCTCAAAATGCGTATGTTCTTACTGAATGTCAAAGGATCTGTAAGATCAGAAAAGGCTCAGAGAGGTTAATTAACTTGACCAAGACCAAATCAAGGTGTCAAACCTATCACTTCAACTTCATGTCTGTTGTAGAACTCTTGAGAATGCTACTTTATTTCTAGAAAATGTGTAAGTTGTTTATCCCCACTCTTAAACATCTGAGTTTATCTAAACACTCTTTTAGATTATAAATACATAAGACAGAGCAAAGCTGGAGGCATCATGCTGCCTGATTCCAAACTATATGATAAAGAGTAATTAAAACAGTATGGTATTGACATAAAAATAGATAAATGCATCTGAGGAACAGACTAGAGAGCTCAGAAACATACTCATTTATGGTCCACTGGTTTACAACAAAGGAACCAAGAATATACAATGAGGAAAAGACATTCCATGATAAATGGTGTTGGGAGAACTAGACTGCCATATGTGGTCTAGAATGAAATGGCCACTATTATAAAACATCCACAAAAAATAACTAGGTGGATTGAAGAATACAAGACATGAAACCCTAAAAGCCCTAGAAGAAACCATAGCTCCTTAACATGGGGCTTGGCAATAGATTTTGGATGTGATACCAAAATTAAAGGCAATAAAAACATACAACTAGAATTACAAACTTTTAAAAAGCTACTTACTACAAAGGAAACCATCAACAAAATGAAAAGGCAGCCTATGGAATGAGAGAATACATTCACAAATCATCTGATGAGGGGTTTATATTGAAAATACATAAAGAAGTCCTAAAACTCCATAGCATAAATCACACAATCTGATTTTTAAAAAGGGCAGAGTATCTAAACAGACATTTTTCCAAAGAAGACCTACAGATGGCCAAGTCCATGAATGTGTTCGAAATCGCTAATCAGAAAAAAATGCAAATCGAAACCACAATGAGCTATTGCCTCACACCTGTTAGAATAGCGATCATAAAGGCAAGAAATAATGAGTTGGTGAGAATGTGGAGGAAAAAATGATTGTGTGCAGATGGTAAGAATGTAAATTGGTACAAGCCACTATTGAAAACAGTATCAAAGTTCCTCAAAAAATTACAGAGCTATAATATGATCCAGCAATTTCACCTCTGGGTATTTATCTGAAGAAAACAACAGTAATTCAAAAAGATAATATGCATCCCATGTTCAATGCAGCATTATTTACGGTAGCTAAGATATGGAAACAATCTGTGTCTGAACAGATGAATGGATAAAGAAAATATGCTGTATATACATGCAATTGAATATTTTTCAGCCATAAAAAAAGAAATCTTGCCATTTGCAGCAGCATGGATGGACCTTGAAGCCACTGTGCTAAGTAAAATACGACAGAAAGAGAAATACTTCATGCTCTCACTTATATGTGGATTTTTTTAAAAAAAGGAAGAAAGCTCATATATACAGAGAACAGATTGGTGATTGCCAGTAGAAAGGTGGTAGGCTAAAATGGGTGAAAGAAGTTGTTAACAGGTACAAACTTCCAGTTATAAAATAAGTCATGGGAGGGACAGGTGGGTGGCTCAGTCTGTTAAGTGTGCAACTTCGACTCAGGTCATGATCTCACAGTTCGTGAGTTCGAGCCCTGCATTGGACTCTGTGCTGAGAGCTTAGAGCCCAGAGCCTCCTTTGGATTCTGTGTCTCTCTCTGCCCCTCCCTGCTCATTCTCTCTCTCTCAAAATAATAAAAAAAAAATGAAAAAATAAAACAAGTCATGGGAATATAATGTACAGCATGGTGATAATAGTTAATACTGTATTGCATACTTGAAAGTCTGAGTAAATCCTAAAAGTTCTCATCGCAAGAAAAAAAAATTGTAATTATGTAAGGTGGTAGATGTCAACTAAACTTAGTGTGGAGATCATTTTGCAATATATACAAATATCTAATTATGTTGTACACCCAAAACTAATATAATGTTTTATGTTACATATCTCAATAAAAATGAACTAAAAACTTA